CATTCAGAAGGCGTCATTTGAACCAAAATGCAGTCATAGAACGCCCATCTTTGGCATCAAATGGACCTTTTTTAAATTCATGTGCTCCAACTTTAACAATCTCTGTGTGATGTGCATGTGTTACAACTGCTGAATCTGTTGTATCAAACTTCATAAATTCCATATCCCTGTGTGTTAAAATAGTTATTAGGTCATCCTCTTTTAGCTTAGCAATACTATTCTGTGGGTTTGTTTCTGACAAAGTGGAATCCTCTTGTTTATTATTATTGTAGGTTTCAACAGGACAGAGAACAGTATATTCATTGTTTTCTTTTTCAACTGAAATAGCATGTTCTCAATCTTGCACTTTGACCTCTTTGCTGCCATCAAAAGGAACAGATACTAGCTTACTGGTGTCATCACTTCCAGCAAGAAAAGCTCTCATCAATTTGCTTGACTCCACCATCGAAGCTGCAAATTGTGCACGTCTTTTGCGTCCCTGTGCCCCCTTTCTTTTTTCGACATAATGGGCTAAAAGAATAAATAATAAACACTGACTACACTATTTAGTTGCAACATGCAAATTGTCAGATGAAAGGAAGCATTCTACTTTCCTAAGTTCCTAACCACAAATTATATTTAAATTTTACAATTATAGTTGCAACTCAGGACTAGTTAGGCACACCTGGACCTGGTTTCACTTTATCTGCGATTATTTAGACCACCCATACTCATGTTAATTAATGTGATACAACAATAAGAAAATCAATGCAGATGAGTGTGTATGTTGGTAAATCGTGATTATGAGCACCATATAAATTACTGGCAGTTGCTAAATTATATTTAAAAACTCGATAGGTTTAACTACATGAACACTACAGGAGACAAGTCTGAAATTTCTCGAACGAAAATTACAAACACTGTGGAGAAGGGTGTATTCATAACATAATATAAGCCTAGAGGCTCAAAGGCTATATTTAGTATTAAAGGTTTTGATTGAATGAGAAAACTTAAATATAAGCTAACTAATTAGTGATGCTAGATTACAGTTCCGAGAATAAGTCGCTGGTACATTTAGATCTAACATTAATGTTAGACCTGTTATTTCCATCTTTTTAGTCTTAGGTTTGGATCTAGATGTAATAATAACGACAAAAATTTAGCTTTATACATCTAAACTAGACCTTAGATTGAAAGCATCTTGTATTGAATCTATCCAGATCTAGACCCTGCCTCATCAATTCTAGATTTAGATTTATTAGGCCTAACTTTTGGAACAAATGTTACATCTAGATCTATTAACTTAGTCATTAGATCTGTCCCAGTGCAATGCCTAGTTTAATAGTTAGTATAGGTCCAAATGTATGCCAATAATATAGGCTACAATTTGTATGATGATGGACCTATGGTCTAGAAATAAAGTTATAACTGCAATTAGACCTACAGTCTAGTACATTAGTTGGTGTAAGACATGATTTACAATCAGCCAATATAATTACAAACCACTAGATTAGGCCTATAATGCTTACTAGATTTAGATTTAGGCCTTGCCTGTTACATATATATTACCAATCTTGCACACCAGTTGATATGTTACATCAATCTCGTAGTTTCTTTTTGTTGAACATACACTTACTTGTAAGTTATACTCTAGAACTTGTATTTGATATACAGATGAATGATGGAATAGTGTAATTTACTTCTGTACGTCAATTTGGTCCCACTGTATTTCAGTAGGCGGCTTTTAAAAGTTAAAACTGCAAGCGTAACACACACAAATAACGTAACACTGTGTCCTATTTACTTAACATAGGGCAGTTGCGCTATATCCTAGGGGAGGGCATAATTATTAATTAATAGGCATTATAAGCCAGAGGAAATTTTGCGCCCCTTCACACCTGCGCCCTGGGGCGACTGCCCCCTCTTGCTACGCCACTGTTTCTCAGGAGTGGTTTTCAAACACCTACATATCCACTGAAGCCATTTCGTGTTAAAGTTTATCTTGCTGTTCTGGAAGTAATATGTTACCTGTTCTCAGAAGTGGTTTTCAACACCTACATACCCACTTAAGCCTTTTCGTGTCAATGTGTAACTTACTGTTCTGGAAGTAATATGTTATTTCTTCTCAGGAGTGGTTTTCAAACACCAAGATATCCACTGAAACCATTTCGTGTTAATGTGTATCTTTGTGTTCTGGAAGTAATATGCTACCTCTTCTCAGGAGTGGTTTTCAAACACCTACATACCCACTTAAGCCATTTCGTGTTAATGTGTAACCTACTGTTCTGGAAGTAGTATTCATACCTAAACTTGCAGCTAAGTCATTTGAAATATCTCTCTTTGACTGTTTCTATTATCAACGGCACAAATTTCCCATACCCTCTTTGAGTTCCATTATAGTTCTTACAATAACGTGAATTGTCATCTCAATCTGTTGAATATAGCAAAATTTACCACACAATACTTTGATATCTATACGTTTGACATGTGGAATTTTTGTTGTGGGAGCCATGAGAGTATCCACTATACTACTGATGAGAATAGTATGACTATCTCTACTTTTATACGCATTATGCTAGTCTGATTGGTTGGATGACAACCAATCACAGTGTAAGCTATAAAAAAAAAAAAAAACGTGTCTGTGATCTGGTGTAATTTGTTTCCGTGCGATAGACAGGAAGTAATGTGATAATATTTCATGTATTTGAATGCATAGTATATATTAATCTTTTTTTCCCCTATATCACCGCAGAAATATAGTTTTTTTGGTTTTGCATATAATACGTTCCTAGGATATCTCCAAGGTTTCTGGTAGTTGTATTATATATATTGTGTCAGGGGTGAAATTCTAAAAAAAAAGTAGAGGTATTCAGCTGTGTGAAGTGGACCTGTTTTTGAAAAAGGAAAAAAAAGTCTATATGTAAACATAAAAATGACAAAGCAGCTAAAATAAGTCCTGGTCCTAGTACCGGTAGAATTTCATCCCTGTGTTGTGCAGATCACATGACTACCGGACACTCTTGTGACTGCGGATACCTTCGGCAGGATATCGTGCTTTCACAGAAATGTTGGGATAAATCCGGAGGCTTCTTCAATACTCGTTGCTTTACTTCTGTAGCTGTATATTGTTATTTAGAGATAATAAACTTGAAGACAAAATCTGAAACAACTATAATTTTACTTGTATGATAGGCTTTTCTCCCTATCATTCCAGAACAATCAAAGCAGTAAATGTTGGAAAAACTCCAAGATGTATCCCAAATAAGTTATGAATACTGGATGCCTATAAACTGTGCGCTAAATGTACGAATATCAAGATTAATAAATTACGTAACTGAGTTTGTTTATTTTAGCGCAAACTACACAATGAGCTACCTGTCCATCGGGAGAATCGAACCGCAGTTTTTAGCGTTCTAAGTCAGTAAACTTATTGCTGATTTCTGTGGGACACGTTAATTGAGAGCAATAATACTAAAAATGTCACCAATATATCCGTCATTAACCAACTCAAGATCTTTAAAATAAAAGTTTTGGTGCACAGCTCAACGTTGACCGGAACGTCATATAGAAAATTGTTTCAAATCTAAAAGACCAGTGGTCAATAATTATTCCCAACTGTCGCTATTGTGTGTAAATAGTCCCTCGAAAATCTGTTTTATAAATACCAAGAGAAAAATTAGCACAAACACTCTCGAAACACATCTTTCAGACGTTTTAATAAAGTTTTACAGAAACTACAGGATTGTTTGTTTGTTTGTAGTTTAAGCACAAAGCTCCATAACGGGCTATCTGGGTTCTGCCCACACGGGTATTGAAACCCGATTTCTAGCGTTGTAAGTCCACAGACATACCGCTGTGCCACTGGGAAGGGGGCAAAACTACAGAAATTTCATAAAGATAGCATATATAATTACATGATATAATAACCACCTGACTCCGTTAAAACAATCTGTGTCCAAACAGAAATCAAGGAAAGTCCGCAGTTCCACTTATCCTTTTACGAGCTTTTAAAGCATTTTTTACAGATCTTGTAACATGTAAAAAAATAATTTTATATTATAAACAGATACAAAATACCACTGAATAAATATGGTCAACGTCATAATATAAAAGACTGTTTGGTTTAAATATTAGTGATTAATTTATATTTGTGAGTGAATATTTTATTATTTTTAAGT